CAAAATGCTACACCACACTACACTTCGCATCAAAAAGGCTGTCAAAAGCGGAGAGCGGTACCACATAATGACCTCGAGGCACTAGGTATAGTGTTCGCCTTGGGGGGAGATCCACTTTTCTTTTGGAGTGAAACCAAAAATACGTACCGACCACCAACCCGCTGAAATCGCTATTCAAGAGGTCCAACGTTTCCCCAAGAGTAATGCGCTGGGCCTTAGAAATCCAATCATACCAACTAGAGATTGAGTATGTAAAAGGAGACGCCAATAGGGTGGCAGACGCGATGTCGAGAGGAATCCCGTCCTCGTGGCGGCACTCCAAGACAACACTGAACCAAAGAGGGTTGTCAACGTAGCGAAAAATACCTGGAGACAAGAACTCCAGGAAGGACCTGATTATGGCCCAATAATAGATATGGTCATACAGGGCAAAAATCAAGAAGAAATCAAACTACCGCGTCATGAAAGACCACTTAGAGTAGCAGACTTTTGTATCATGGATGACCACCTCTGTTTAATCCTCGAAGATGGAATCTTTCGCAAAGGCTGTACCGCGCTCTCGCATACGAGCTGTCCTTGACGATGTTCATGCAGGAGTTCTGGGCGGCTACGGCTACTTTAATGCTCGTAGAATCTTCCCAGAAACTCAAAAAAGTAGTCTTCTGGGAGGGAATGCGACAAGATATCGCACTATGGAGCAAACAGTGCCGCCAGTGCTACCTCACAAACAATCAGGAGGACTGCATTCCACCAACCAATTGAGGCATCCACTCCTTTTGAAGTAGTGGGAGTGGACTGTTAGAAATTGTTTCTTCTAGCGGCATGCGCCACCTAGTAGTGGTAATTGACCATTTCTCAAAATGGCTCGCCGCGTATCCCACACCATCAAAGTCAGCAGAGGACATCGCTCGCGCGTTATTCCATAGGTGGATATGCGAAGGCGGACGATGGCCAAAGACCCTACTGTCAGACAAGGGGCGAGAATTCGAAAATAACGTAATGGAAGCTCTTTGCAAGGTTGCCGGAATCTCGCAATCTTTTACGAAAGGGTACAACCCCCGCGAAAACGGTGTGACGGAGAGGGCTAACCAGACACCAGTTAGAATGCTCAAGAAAAGAGGCGACGTAGCAGTCGATTGGGACACAATGGTGCCCAACGCCGTTTACGGCTGTAGCGCTACCGGCGCAAGTCCTTTCTTCACACTGTACGGGTTCGATCCTGTATACTCTTCGAGTGAGGTCTCAAGCTCGCGCAAAATCTCATTCGCGAAAACGCTGCAGAGTATAGAAGGAAAATGAAAGAGCAATATGATAAGAAAGCTTAGATAGACATAAAAAGACTCCACAAGTAGGAAGAGCGTTTTCCTCAAACAACCGATGGAAAAGATGAGGCATACTGTGCTCTGTAATGTGTGGTCTGGACCATATAGGGTTATAGAAAATAGTGAAACCTCTGCACTCATAAATGGAATTGAAGGAAAAACGGGACCGATAAAGGTTCCTCACGATCAGTTGCGCGTAGCGTAGTGCCCACATATTTTGATGAAACACCACTGAAGACAAAAACTAGAAGGAGAGCTGTGCATGAGTTAGTGAAGAATACTCTAGTTTGTTGCACCTGCTATAGCTGAAGATAGGTTTTTCATGGCATACTCCAAGCAGCTGGTCATGACCGACGATGTCGGACACCCACTTCATGTGCAGTTTCAGTGCTATAAAAAAGCAATGGCAACCGCCAGGAGATTTCGCTGGCCACTGCCTTGGAGTGCAGTGCCCCCTCAGTGTCCAGAAGGATGCCAACTGTTAGGAGAAAGTGCCCAGACGCCTCCCCGACACGATGAAAACAGTTCGATTTCACAGCGTGTGTCGACTAGCCCAACTCGTTCTACAATACAAATTACAATTTCTCTTCTGAGCCGCTAGCTGTCGCTCTGCTCTATTACAGAGAGAAGTGCCTTCACTTCAAGCTTAGCGAGGAAAAGCTCGAGCCACAGGATTACTACCATGAATACATACGGCACGGCTCTGCGAAAAAAGGATGAGCGCCATCTTCCGAACCGCACTCAGCTCCATTGTCGGCCAGAACAGGCAAGGACCGTTGCAGAGAGCCAGAGCCGTTCAGTTGCTTGTCGTCCCAAGCTGCATGGAAAATGTATTGTTATGGCTGTCAGACACAGTCAAAGGAATTGGGTATGACCCAGATCCTCTACCAGCACCACAGGACAAAAGCGACGCAGAATGCCCTGCAGGTGCTACACCCGTGGCTGGAAAATACCCAGGCCCGGGTCGTGAACCTGGTGCTGGCCATGGCATTAAGAGAACACAACAGTAAAGAGAATATCAGCGCTTGGCAGAAGGTGGCCAAAAATGTCGCAACCGTTTTGGATAGTATCTGGACCGTAAAATGATTGGGCGGAGACACACAAGCAGAACAGAGTGGGATAATCCCATCAGGTGCCTCGGAAGTGACCCTTATGACGACAACGGGATCATGGGGCGCTTCAAATGCATGCTTTGGTACGAGAAAGTCCTTGAGCACTGGACACCCTCATGGCCTTCAGCTCTCACAACGGCAAGATCAGATTCGGCCGCTCGCAAAAGACCGCCAGTGGAGCAGAAAAACCTGCAGCCGAACCGTGCTATACGTTGTGTGTATTATAAAGGAAACAGGAACTTCCGTGAGTTCCGATAGAACTTCCTTTTTTCCTATCTTCGATAAAATTAAAATAGTAGAAAAAAAAGAGAGATCGAGTGAAGGGACCACTCTCCTTTCGGTGGGAGCTGAAAAGAGAGCATGATTTGTATGGTCAACGCAGATCATGTGACCGCGATCTCATCGATCTTTTTCAGGCAACGCCCCTTGGCGCGAAAAGGGATGTGAGCGGGCTCCAGTCGACGTTGCTCGCGAGCCCTTAGGCTGCGTTTATACTTTGCGGCAGCGTAGCGTAGCGCTTCCAGCGTACGCCAGCGGCAGTGCCGAAGAGAGGATGCATATCGATCTAGCTTCACCAGCGTCACCAGCGTTTCTCCAGCGTTTCACCAGCGTTTTGCTAGCGTTTGCAGCGGCAGGGGAGTAGAGACTATGGGAGAGCTGGAGGGTACAAAACACATCGATTGCGCGTCTCTCACTCGCCCTCAGTCTCTACAATACACATCGATTGCGCTTTCTCACTCGCCCTTAGTCTCTACAATACACATCGATTG